AACAGTTATCCAATCCGAACGAGGGATAAGAAAAGCGTTTGCCAATCAAGAGAGAGCTATTGGAAGTCTACCCAATAGAAAAAAAGCGACCAAAAAATCAGCCAATTGAAAAAAAGCGACCAGAAATACGACAAAATACGACTAAGTTCCAAAAAAAAGTTGAGGGTAATATTCTTCGATTTGAACCAACAGTTATCCAATCCAAACGGGAGATAACAAAAGCATTTGCCAATCAAAAGAGCGCAACCGGAAAACTACCCAGTAGAAAAAAAGCGACCGAAAAAATCAGCCAATTGGAAAAAAGCGACCAGAAATACGACCAAAATTCGACCAAGTTCCCAAAAAAAGTTGTGTGCATATTTCCTTGGTTTGAAGTAAACAGTTATCCAATCCGAGCGGGACATAACAAAAGCATTTGCCAATCAAGAGAGAGCTATTGGAAAACTATCCAATTGAAAAAAAGCGACCAGAACTACGACCAAAATACGGCCAAGTGCAAAAACGTCGGAGATGTAATATTTCCTCGGTTTGAACCAACAGTTATCCGATCCGAACGGGGGATAACAAAAGCATTTGCCAATCAAGAGAACGCTACCGGAACATAACGAACATATTATCCAATAGAACCGAAAGCACAGCAAAGAACGGATGCCCAATAAAAGAACACATTTACTTCCTCCTCCTTAAACATCACACATCGCAGTGATATAGAATTTCGCAACCTAACTTTCAGGACATCTACTTCAATCTGCCTCATAGTCTACTAAGCTTCCTACATTAATAGTCAAGTAATAAGATTATATGCAAGAGAAACTTATGCTTTATTTCAAGTCAATCAGGTAACGACGACGAGAAAAAAGTCCCGGTATTGAGAGAAAGTTGTTAAAGACTAATGGTTAAAAATATGATGGAGACGTAAGGGATCAAAATCAGTTTTTAAAATAGGCAAATGACTCTGAAATGGCTGCTTCAACCGAAATATTGGCGTGGTTGATGTATGGATGTAAGCAAACAGCCAGTTTCTCAAGCTTGTCATTTAGATTCCGATTTCCCAGAATTGGAAATTGCTGCACACCATTTACGAAGATGGCACTAATTTCAATTAAAAGGCTGTTTGTTTTTCCAACAGTCGCCAAGGCGCATTCGTCTACTAGAGCTTTACTTAGTACAGCTTGATCTCCGTTCTTGAGGACAGAAACACCAATATCAGCAAAGATTTTTGCAGCAGGATTTCTTCCACGATCAAAATTGTGAAGAGTAAAAACAGAGTACGGATGGCACTGGTGCGATTTGGTGATCGGTCCAGAAGCTCTACATAGATAGTAAGACGATGATACGTGGAATTTTGTTCTCAATTGTCGAAGTTGATCCATGATATTAGTTTTACTGAGTGATGTTTCGTTAACATTCTCAGCTAAACTCTTTGCTTTTTTAATGGATTCTTCATCCAAGTGTATACTCGTAGACAAAGAAGATTCAATCCCCATCAGAACAAAGTTAGTCGTCATACCACCCACGTTTGGTCTTGTCGCTTCGTCTAATCGAAGAGCAGAAGTAACAAGAGCATTGAAGGTCTGTGTGCCAATAATCAACTTCAGCCCATCATTGTTACTGAGGGTGGTAGGCCACACGTCAGGGTACCTAGACTTGTGTGGAGGCGGTAGTGAAGTTATGATAGCATTGTTCTTCTTAGTCCCAAATGGTTCACGATGCAGGTCGACATTTTTCTTTCTGCCGTAAACTTCAACGGTATTGGCCATAACAGTTTCATTATTCACTGCATTGTGTATAATAGAACCTGCTAGTAACTGAGCAGCAAAATACTTCATGTGAGGGAAGAAAGTCCAGTCATAGTTCAGTAGTTCGCAGTATTCAGTTGATAATTCGACATAATTTCTCTTCTGCAACAATCTGCTATAGGGAGACATTGCCAACACATTGTGTAAAAGGCGAGGATTCTCAAACGAGCAGTTAGCACACGGCCTTTCTTCAGAATCCATTTCATCATATGTTCTTTTTAAAGGAGTAGATTCAATGCGGGATTGTGCAGAGATGCTTTTTTCGATTACAGCAGGGTGTGCCAAGGCGTTTTGTTCCGTTCCATCCTCGTTGATAATTGAAAATGGATTAAGGTTCATGGCTTCTAATATTCGCATCGTCTTTAATTTTTCTTTGCTGTCATCATCCGTTTGCTGACAAGCATATAATACAGCATTTTCATAAGGGCGGCGCAAAGGTTCTTCTTCTACTCCGGTAATTGATGGTGAATCTGGAATAGTCACCGACGATGAAATAGTATTTACTGGATTTTCTTCGATTGACTCATCAGTATCAGTTTCCTCCTCTAATGTTTTGCTACAAATATGTTGAGATAAAAAAAAAGTCAATAAAGAAGGCTTTACATTTTTGCTATTGCGTTTGTCCCAACCTATGGCCTATATCACTTGTACTGGTGATGATGTTTGTTTGATGCACTTTCAGGTGTACGCCCATTGATTCGATGGTTTGGAATATTGATATGCAGGAGGGACATGAATAGTAGCTTCCTCTTAGTCCTGGACTATGATCAGTGGTTTCGGCATTAGGTCTACCAATCTGCAACGCAGGAAGGTCGACATGATGCTTTCTTTTCAAATGTGACCTTAATTTGCTTCTATTGCTGTACAGATTTGTATCACAAAAAGGGCAGGCCAATATAAAAGTGGGTGAAGTGTCTTTACTTGACATATGATGAGATTAATGCGCGAAGCTTACAAAAAAGAAATTATGCTTCTAGCACTTTTCTTTTCTTTTAACTCGAGTTTTTGTTATGCATTTTCACTGCTGGTGTATTTGACAGGTTTGATAAAACAGGAAAGAAGACATACAGGTTTTCTTTTTAGTCTCATATGCTACAGCAATATTTGGTACTTCTGTAACGCAAAATTGAGCAAAGCTCGCCTTAAAGTAACAAAGAGTTGCCAATACTTCATCATCACAGCTAACTCTGATAAAGAAGTATTTATCCACAATAAGCATTCACCAACCTCAACAAGAGAATCATCGGAGGGCCTAAGGAACGCCTCGTCTGTTGAACATGCGCTACTCTCAAAACCAATCGATCGTTTCTCTATCGCGGAAAGACAATGAATTAATAATATCAACCTTCGAGTGCGCTAGATTTAATACCACTATATTCCTTTCTCTATGGCCACCACTAAACATATTACCCGGAAATCTACGCAAGCGAGACGCCACACCTAGCCGACATCCTGGTACCCATGAAACATGTGCAATCACTCAATTGCAGAGTATCACAAGTCTTCAACAAGTCATCAGTCTGATACCTTCCGTCATCGTGGAAATTACCCTCCTCCGCTCACAGTTATTAAAATTAGATACAAAAATTACTACACTGAAACAGAGGGAGAAGCGAACACGTCACAATATCGAGTTGAACCTCTTTGAGAAGAAAAGTCTAAACATATATTGTCAGCACCCGAGAAACCTTTTTAGTTTAAAGCACAAAAGGAAACGTCTATATTAAAACACAACTGATAGAATTTGCCAAATTAATGATGTTAACTACTGTAACTGCTATCAAGACCCCATGCCAACAGAAAACTCGTCCAGCAAAATGCTTCATTCAAACTCACTTCTTCTTTGGTAGTCAAGGACTTTATTAATTGGTACGTATATTATTAACCATTCAATGGGCACTACTGAGCGATGAGGAAGTTTTAGATTTGATGGCTATCCGGCACATTTGTTGATACCACAGCGGTTCTCTGATACAACAAAACCAATAACTTTCCGAAATGGCCATCTATACTATACTCAAAGCGATTAGGGGTGACACTTCCATCAGGTTATCCATTTGGTCTTGGGGAAGTTTTGTACCACTTGACCGACCACCGCATTGACGGCAAGGCATCCTGATCTCCAGTAGTTTGTAACACTCCCTGTTGTCCAACCAGACATTTCGATGGACTGGTAACTTTTCGTTCTGCAGTATCTAGTGGTTGAGCTTTGGATATCGTCTACATTGTGGTGTTCAAATGGTCCTTCAAGACATTTAGAGTCTCGTATCTCCTACTGTTGAACAGCCGGTATAACCTGCAATAAATTGTCTTCAAGTTCTCTTAAACACCCAATTGGCACTCTTACCCTTTACCGAGATGCTTCTTCTTTCTTATCATGATGATGTCTAAGACCAGTCAGAAAAGTCTGTGGTTTTGTACCCGTTGCTAATGACCACTATAGATTGAACTGACAGCGGATGGTAACATTACCAGGAAGGCTGGAAGCTGCATCAAATATGGCTAGGGCTATTCATGATCAGCTTTTAACTGCGGAGGTGCGTTTATCAGTTTACAAATGTCATTATTTGCGTTATCTTGCTAACAGTCGCATTAATTTAACTGGAAGAAGAGCGAGTACCACCTAGTTGGTTTGCCTTGCGTATGCGCTGAAAAGAGATCTGAGTAGCATTGAGACGAAATTGGCCTTCTTTGGGCTTGGTTCATTCAACATATATACCAATGTAGAGTTGGACTTCGTGCTTGTACATTGACTATTAGCAATTCCCCTTGGCTTTTCGATTTACAACCTACTTCCCAGAATGTAAAAAGGCTGTGTGGGTATATGAATTGTTTGGTGTCTTTTGGAATAAAATCAACCTTTTCTTTGCAGCAATTGTGACCCGAATGATATATCATGACATTGATAGTAGCATGAAGTTTGCTAAAGTGCCCGACCTTGGACCGACAAATTATGTCCATTCAAAATCTGGAAATAATAAGTGGCTTTTGATATGCACCAGTTTAGAAGACATCCAGTTTGGGCACATGATGGAACACCAGAAAATCGCAGTAAATTGAAGGTATCGATACACCATCGTCGTGCCATTGGCAACCGCCTGTTGACACTATTTCATACCAATTTTCATTGCAATTTCTGCCAGTGTGAAAAAAGGTGTTTTCAGTTTTATTTTACGTTTTCAGCATCATTAATTGTCTGCAGGTGTAATAGTGATGTGTTTATTATTCTGGATCGACATAATAATGAGTGAAGCATCTGCATACGCCAATAACTTGATTGATATACTTTCCAACAATCATACCTCGTGTTTAGATAGATGATCTGGATAGTGATCTACATAACGGTTTTTGGATGGTGAATCCCTGTAGATAGAACCCAGCTAGAAGTCTGCGTGGCAATGGTTCAAGCGAAAGGCTTTCTATTGTAGTCCAAACATAAAATTGAAAGTAGCGGGCAGATATGTCCCTCTTGGCGTAGCCTTCGTTCCTTTATAATGAACTACGTGATGAGGGCAGCTATATAAACCTTTGATGACAATGTGTTTGCCTGGAAGAATATGGCTGTCATAGTCCTTACAAAAGCTTCTGTGAAACCAAACTACACCTATGCCTTTCCAAGGTATTATGAGTGGATCCGGTCACACGCCTTCTCTGATCTAGTAGAACACCTACAATAGAGCCATTTGGATAACTATTTCTTGCAGGCAGCATCATGGTTTTTAGCCATTTTTTTGCATTCTAAGTTGATAAATGAGAGCAGCTGCCAGTATATGCAGGCATCTGGCGATATGTGCACCAACGTTTTATTTTATATCAAAGATATGTCCTAGGATCCTCATTCAGCCTTTCTTCAGATTTCATGTCATCAAACTTTAAAATTTTGTCATGGGGCTAGCAGCCAGTTGATGTGTTCCCTTTGCTCCGATTCTGGGTCAAAAATGATGTGTAAGCCAATCACTGGAATAAAAGACAGTACTCGGACGCTGAATTGCTAGAGGGCAACGATTCTCCCATCCTGGCTATCCCCTCCGTAGGTACCGTGTAAGGTATCTTCGGGGAACCGAATATGAAGTAGGGCTTTTTTCTGTCGGTATAATCGATGTAATCTTCTCCAGAAACTGAAAATGGGCAGAGATTCATGGGTTCCAATATATGCACCGTCTTGAATTTTCATTGCTGGTATCATTCATTTGCTGGCAAGCATACAATACTGCATTTTCGCAAGGAGCGATGCCAAATATCTCCTCCGCGTTGGTAACTGATTGTGAAGTTGGAATTGTCACTGACGATGGTATAGCAATCAGAATTCTTTTTGGTTGTCAAGGAATGGGGTAGCATTTACTTGGTTTTTCAGATGTGCTCTAAGCATTCCAAAAAACCTGCTGCTTGACGTGTGGGTATCGTGATGAAAGCCTCTTTTCGTGCAAATTTAGGTCTTGGCTGTCGCGTTTACCAAGTTGATGTCGGCATACATGCATCTCAGCTGATGGAAGGGGAGTATAGCGATCTCTTTCTAGTGAGTTCTGGCCAGATAGGTCCCTGATTATCAGAGTCTGAGTCTATTATGCTTCCTTGAAACTTATGTGCATTTGCTTGGATTGACTAATAGTGCTTGTAGAGATTTTTGCATTTGTATGGTAGAGCATTCACAGCAAAGGTCAAAGTTTATGTGTAGCGGAAAAACTCGTGTATTGAAATTTGGTCGTGATCCTCGTTGGGTAATCCAAGCGACCGCTTTGATGACTGAAACGCATAATATATGCTTCTGTCATTCAACCATTTATTTTACTTTTTGTGAGAGTAATAAGCAAATTCTATACATTATCCAGTCGAAGATGGTTCCTGAGCATTTTTTTTTTTTTCAATAGAGCCAATGTTTATTTCAGTGTGAAATTGAGGTCCCAAAAGTTTGAAAGGTAAACTATGCTAGCTTATAGGGGTATGAAGATGCGGGGGCGGTTGACATGAACAGTGTTGTTAGACCACTCCACTACTCCCTTTCTCAACCAATTGTCTTTTTCTTTTTTTCTTTTTGCGTCGTTTTGTATTCTTGTCGACAGGGTGTGCCACAATGACTCCACCAATTGTTCATAAGTCAGTCTGTCTTGTTCTTCATTGCGGAAGACGAATTTCCAGTGGCAGCGCCAGATGGTCGCTATGGCAATGCTTAGTATAATGATGCTGGAAGGGTTGCGGTTTAGGCTTATTTTGCGCCAAAGGTATTGGAAGCCTTCTACTACGTTTTGTGATGTCAAACATCTCCTTGGCACTGGCAGATCTTTGACAAGCCATACGTTAAAGAGAGTGAAGGTGTATTTCCAAAATCGAAGTTTTGGTGGGCAGTCAAAAAGCATATGGTCGATGTCTTCGGTTGTGTTCGAGCAAACCTCGCAAGCGGGTGAGAGACAGTTATTGGGATATATTTTATGCATGTGTGACCCGGCTTGGTTTTTTTTTTTTGTATTCGGGTTTTATTTAGCTATTTGCGAAGCAAATAGTTTAGATACTGGGATGTTCAAGTACAAAGAATACAGAAAAATAACGTAAAACGAAAAAACACAGAAATAGAAAGTTGATAGAAAGGAAAGTTAGAATCTTAAACTCAGTTGCTAGTTAGAGCTATGCTTTTAGCCGTGATGGTACGGTATGATTCGCTTCGACACAGGCATAGGGACATCAGGTACATACAGCATTTGTAACGTTGCGCCATACCTATGGTAATCATCAATATCATCTTTGCGTGCATAGGCTGTTACTCGGAACTCTTCCCATTCCGGGATCCAGCTCGTTACAATGGCTATGAGCACATTTTGGTCCATTTCCGGCTCCACATCTAGTTGTAGTTGCATTGACCAGCGCCATCTGTTGCGCCGTATGGCACACATGCATGCATCTGGAACCCACCTCTTGTCCTCGGTACAGCATTTCCAGTGGAATTGCCATATTGATACCAAAATAAGCCCAAATGCCGAGAGTGTCTGTTTGCCGGAGGGCGTACAGATCCTCTTACTGTCAGACAGCAGGAGTAGTTGCCATACCTTGGTCGGCGAATCAAACTCCTCTCTAGGTAGTAGCTCCTGGAGAGCTGTTTTCCAGACTGTCCTTTACTGGGCAGTTGACGAAACGATGGTAGGCGTCTTCTTCCTCAGATTTGCATAACTTGCATGATGATGTACGTATACAGGACAGAATTTGGATAAGAGAATTTTTTTTTT